GAGGCGGGAGACTCACTTGAGCCCAGGAGTTGGAGGTTGCTGTGAGCTGTGAAGCCACCGCACTCTACCCAGGGGGATAGCTTGAGGCTCTGTCTCAAAAAAAAAATAAAAAAAAAAGAATATTCAACAAACACCTTATGTGGTCTACAAAGCCTAAGATATTTATTATCTGGCCCTTACCGAAATAGTCTGCTGCCCCTACTGTAGAGGAACACAGAATAGGTCTGAGAACCTCCTTCTAATAAGCCAGCCCTTCAAGTAATTATCCACCGCAGCTTTTAATCTTCCCCAAATTGAAAGCCTCCCAGTCCCTCAATTCTTCTGGATTTATGGTTTACCTCCCCTCACTATCTTGGGTGTCTTCAAAAAATGCCTGGCACTTGTCAAAGCCATAATAAAGACATCATACCATCTTTTAAAAAGCCACTCACCTCCAGCCTGCTCACTGTGTCTTCATTCCCAACAACTTCATTCAGCTTTATAGGTCTATATTTTTCAACCCTGATTTAAAGAAAATGCATAAACATATTTACATGGCTGTTTTCATATTACCCAAAAGAAAGTGCCAAAAGGGCAATCCTGGAGAGCTTTGTCAGATTATATGTATTTAATAAAAACATACCAAATGACTGTGAGTTTTAAATTTAATGAGGTACCCAAGTGCCAATTGAAAAGTTAAGTGCATAACAATTGTACACTAAAGGCTTCAAACCTGCCACAGCAGAGAAATACCTGTGGTCGCTGGAAAAGAGCCAGAGCAGGCCATCTGGAGCCATATGACACTGTGATGCAACCCAGAGGCTCGGCACATACAGCACTGAGATCATTTGTTCAGCAGACATGGATGCAACCAAGCCCCTTTCTCATCCCTTACCTGCCAGTTTCTGCAGACATGTGCCAGTGTACAGCAGGCCTGGCTATTATTCAGACCAATAGTTTTCTTTTAAATTAAAAAGGAAGAGAAAAGGACTTTCTCCAGCTCTGAGAATAGAAGTGGTGGTAAATTTGCAGTGATGTGACCATCAGAACTTCCCTTGCCCTTCATTAAATTGCCTGATTTATCCTCAGCTTGTACCCTGTACAGGTCCTGGTCCTGCTCCAGAAGTAGCTCTGTGCAAAGAAGCTTACTTGCCACAAATTACAGAAAATAGAGACAGCTCTCCTCCAGGACTAGCAAATGGTGCATGTTTATTCTTACTCATCTATTCTTTCTTTTGCAGTTTTTTTGGCCAGGGCTACGTTTGAACCCGCCACGTCTGGCATATGGGGCCAGTGCCCTATTCCTATGAGCCACAGGCGCCGCCCAGCTCATCTATTCTTTATACTCAGCTCCTTCCAGATGCCAAGGAGTTAGAATTTCAAGGAGAGGAAAGTAGAAGGTACAGAGATGAGGAAGACATGATTCTTGTTCTAACGGGCTTTCCCACTAGCAGAGACATATATAGGTTAGCAAATCCTACTACAGTGCCAAGCTGGTTATATAAACCAAGGGCTGTGGAAGGAGGCCACAGAAGGAAGAGAATCACCAGCTGGGAATGTCAGGAGCTGAAATTTGAGTTGCATTTTGAAGGAGGCAAGCTTATTCTTCCTTTAGTGACTTTGCATAAGCTGCTCTTCCTCCACAGCCACAAGAATATTCCCTGACTTCAGGTCTTTGCTCAAATATCAGAGCTCATCAGAGACCTTCCAGGATCTCCACAGCTATTTACTCCACTTAATTTTTCTCCAGAGCACCCACCACCATCAAATATACAGTGCATTGGCTTCTTTCTATCTTTTTTTTTTTGAGACAGAGTCTCACTCTATTCCCCAGGCTAGAGTGCAGTGCTGTCACCATAGCCCACAGCAACCTCAAACCCCTGGGTTCAAGTGATCCTCCTGCCTCAGCCTCCCCAGTAGTTGGGTCTATAGGCATATGCCACCATACCCAGCTAATTTTTCTATTTTTAGTAGAGATAGGGTCTAGCTCTTGCTCCTACTGGGCTTTAACTCCTGACTTCAAGCAATCCTCCAGCTTCAGCCTCTCAAAGTGCTAGGAACAGGCATGAGCCACTGCACCTGCCTTGTTTATTTTTTCATTTTGTCATTATCAAATGCAAGATCTATGTATGACAACAGTTTCTTTGTTAACTGAAGTATCCCTTGCATTTGAAATAGCGCTGTGCAAGAAAATATGCAAGCCACATAAGTAATTTAAAATTTTCTGGTAGCCACATTTTTCTTAAAAAGGCAAATAGTAATTTTTTTAAACCTAATATAGTCAAAATATTGTCATTTTCAACAAGTAATCAATTTTTTTTTGAGAGTCTGCCGCCCTCGATCACAGCTCACAGCAACCTCAAACTCTTGGGTTTAAGCGATTCTCTTGCCTTAGCCTCCCAAGTAGCAGGGACTACAGGTGCCCGCCCCAACGCTCGGCTACTTTTGGGTTGTAGTTGTCATTGTTGTTTGGCAGGCCCGGGCTGGGTTCGAACCCTCCAGCTCCGGTGTATGTGGCTGGCGTCCTAGCCGCTGAGCTACAGGCGCCGAGCCAGTAATCGATATTTTTTTTAAATGACGGAGATAATATAAGTCAGAGTAGGTGGTACGAGGAGGTAGCCCTTACTGTCATTAGCACTGTTCTGAGGGAGACTCCGCTCGCAGTTCAGCACTCTCAACCCCACACAGGCTCGGTGACCCACATCCCTCGCCTTCTCCAAACAATAACCGCCCAGACGCCACCCTGGGACCTGCTGCTCTCTCGGGATCCTTCCCATCGCGCGCCCGCCCGGGATCCTGCGGGGCACGGGTCGCCACTCGCCCACCCTCAGGTCCGCATGCGCCCATTCTTTACGGCCTGGGTGCTCACCACGGCAGCTCATAGTGGCCGGCGCTGCTGGAGGCTTTGCTGGGGGCAGCGGCAGTGTCCTGGATCCCGCGATCGGTCGCGCCACCACAGCTCCCAAGCTCCTCCATTTCAGCGCCTCCTCTTCCCGCCACCCGAGGCCCCGCCTCGTGACGTCATGGCGTAAGCCCTGCCCCTGGCCCCGTCTTGACAGGAGCGGAAGCCGTACGTTTGGCCTTTTTACGCCTGCCCAGAGAGCTTCTGCCTGGCGGGGCTCCGGTTGCTAGAGGACGCGGTTGCTATCTGAGGCCTGGCTTCCGGCCTGGGAGCTAGAGCTAAAGGAAGGCGAGACTCTACCGCGTCGCCTTCTGTGAAGGACGGGAACGGACGTTTGTGGGGTTTGTCTGAGAGGCTCTCTCCGCGGCAGGGTGGGAGCCTTTTGCTTTGTGAGCGCCAGGAGGAGCGGGGGCCTGTGGGCGTTGCGGCCCCGGGCGCGAGGACACCACTTGTACTGACGTCCGGGCGCGCCTGTGTCCAGTTTCCCGGGTTATTCCGAATGTCCCAATGAGCAGCTCCATTTGGACGGGCTTTTGCGCCGGGGCCGCCTTTGGACCTTACTTATCATCAGGGAGTTATCACCCCCACCTCCGCTTGGTTTTGGAGAAGGGGAAAATGAACCGTCCCTCTGTCAGGTGTAGTTTTCATTCCAGAAACATAGGTACTTCACTCTCACAAGTCCTTCGAGCATTCTTTTGGGCTGTTTTTCTACCTATTGAACTAATCTTTTCCTCCTATAGCCCAGATGTCATGTTAATGATAAATAATGACTGTCATGTAGCACAGCTCCCTTAGTATGCGCTAGCTCAGAAGTGGAGACTCATTATTCTCGTTTTGCAAATGGAGATGCAGGCTTGGAATGATGAAATAATTTGTTCGATGTCATTTAGGTTGTCATTGGTGGCGCTGGGATTCATTCCCACCATGCTGCCAAAGGTCATCCTATAAAATTCGATTTTATTGTACTTACCACATTGCATTATAATTTCAGAGTAGGCCAGGCACAGTGGCTCGGGCCTATAATCCTAGCACTCTAGGAGACAAGGCGGGAGGATGGCTTGAGTACAGGAGTATGAGGTTGCAGTGAGCTATGATGATGCCACTGCATTCTAGCCCTAGTGACAGAGCGAGACTCTGTCTCAAAAAGTTAAAAAAAAAATTATTATTTCAGGGTAAAAACTGGCTTTACCATCTGAGTTGAAGGCAAGGATTGGGAACTATTTATCCCTATCCTCAGTGCTTAGCACAGAGCCTGGCATACTGCAAGTGTTCCAATGTCTTTGAAGAATAATGAGAAGTCAT